AAATCTGCTCCATTTTCTGCTTAACCTATTTCGTTCCAACCCGGTTTAGCGTGTTTTTCAGAGTCGATTACCAACTATTTTCTGTCAACTGCACAAAACAGCTGAACTCGTCGGCGTCTCACTCCGATTCCAATCAATACCTCCCATCTCACTCAGTTTTCGGTGAGTTGCTATTGTCTTTTGTTGGCTTGGATATTTGGGGCTTTAAGCGCAACAGCCTTTTTTATCGAAGTGAGTTCAGTGTATATGTCGAATGTGTATCATTCGCCCTCTCTTGTGAATGGCAGTTAGGCCACCACATGGTTCTTAGCATTTCGTGCCTTTTTCTGTCTGCATAGCATGATATTGATACACTAATGCTTAATATTCATCATTGTTAAACTTGCTGAGAAATTACCAAGCATTAGATTGTTTTCTCTTCGTTCCATCGAATTGTGCGTTTTTTTTTTGAAAGAAAAATTGTGTATAAAATGAGTGAATATTCGGCCAAATTTTAAGTAGTCATGTTTTATTGCTTTTTTGTTCATACGATAACGGTAGGCTAATGGGAGACCGAGGAATACCCTATCTTTCAAAGCCGAGAATATTACTGCGTTTTCATTGCAGCGTATAGAGAATCCCTCCATCAAATAGAGAGTTCTCTACCTAACAAACACATTCTATAAGTCATAGAGACTACATTTCCCACAACGCCCGCGTCCATACGCTACATTTACATCCCATCGTAACCATAAGACACACCGCCAGGCGTGCTACCAGGCACGACTTAAGGACTAAACTTTGTGACCCGAGCCTTGACCCTGCGTATTTCATTGAGCATTCACTCATTCTTGTATCACGTTTCAGTGGACAAAATATAATGCATAGTGCAGTTGTGCGAAGTTCCTCCAGATGACCGGCTGTGAATGTTGTAATAGTGCTATCCAGTAGTCCGCGGGAAAATTGAAGCCAAGAAGGAATTGTTTCAATATGTCACTGACGGCGGAACACTCTGTGTGCTCAAAACCGACTTTTAGCCGCAAATGAACTGCTTTTTGGGGGTTTGCAAAACGAAGGACCCGCGTGGTGTGGTGGTGAACGCGCTACTCCCTGGAAAGTACAATAGTGCGTTCGTTCCCCACCGCACACATCTCTGGTCTGGAGTTTTGCAAATATCTCAGCATTGTAAACGTTACTTCGTTCTTTCAAACCTCTGCTGTATAATTATCTCATCCGATAACGTGTACTTCTGATTATCTTTTCAGGCTTTATTAACAAGGGTGACTTGGGTTCACGTGCGGTCGATTGTTCTTTATAGGGATCCGTCATAGCATCTGTCTCTCCGTAGTTCGCGTGTTGATATTAGATCGGTATATCGAATACAGAGCATTGTTCTATCCATTAACTGAGCTTCGACAAAGTAATGTATTCCACAGAACCGATTCGTATTCAGACAAACTTTACAAACAAAGAGCTAACGTTGCAGCATATTCTTGAGGGATAGTCCTTGAGACAGCTATATACTTCCTCTCTAGACTTTATTTCCTCTTTGTAGTGATTCGTTAATCAGAGACAAATGGCTTCTGAAATAATTTGTGTTTTTCTAGCATTACAGCTCTTGGGAAAATCTTATTTTAGCATGAAGAAGGTGTGATTTGTTGCTGTGTGCTGAATTCCTGTGCACTACTGTGAAACATCCCTCTGTACTAGGGTAGATACTTCGGACACTAACTTTAGAACTATTCTTGCTCGTGGATATCTAGCCTAAATTGTAAATGTCATCTTTACTGGTTATCTTGGGGTACTGGAATCCAAATTAGTGTTGAATAACTTATTCTATTTCTTTCATTTCTGCTTCTTGCAGTCATTTATAAGGGCACGTGCAGCATAACAGTAAAGATGGCGTTCAATACGCGCAAGGATATGCTTTCACCCTGTACAGAACCAACAAAATCTATTGCTCAGGAGTTCAGAAACTGGTATCGCACTTGTCTGCGAATAGCTTGCTCCAGCACAGAAGCTCCAGGTGGCAACTAATACCTATGGTGAATATCTGGGAACGCCGTAGCACCACTACCCCAGCATTCCAGGGAAAACCGACTTTACCAGTATTCAACGATTCCTGAAATTATTATGGTCCAATGAAGTTCATTAAGAACGCCGAAAATTCTCAGGCATCAGCGGAACCCACATGCAATTTCGAGGAACTCTGTGGATGAAGGATGTGAAATTGAAATGAAAATCAATTGAACGCGATATAGGATGGCGGATCACGTAAAAGAATTTTGGCCTGCAATGAGCAAAAGCATAAGATAAAGAAGCGAGCACCACGATCCATTTAGTACGTTGCAGATGCTCCAGCGCCAACAGTGGCTTCGATTTTTTATTTTCATTACGTGACTCGACATCACATGTAGCATATTGTTTGGATCACAACACTTCGCATATTCGATTCGATAACTCGAATTCGACACTGTGATGGTCTTCGAGCTTTTTTTGAACCTGGGTTCGGTTGCTGCTTGAGGATTTTTCGTCTTCGTCATGAAAGCCCTTGAGCTGTGGTTGAGTCGATCCTCATTGGAATCCTGAGATGGCCCTGCCATGATGTTCCCATCTTAAATTAGTGGGAGTTAGTTTGTCCTAGAGCAAGCTAGTACTAACTCTCAGACCACGGAGTTGTCTGAGGCTTATTGGTTCCGGAGCGGGATCGAACCATCGCCTGATTAGGTTGCTGCGTACCTGTAGCGAATAGGATCACTACCACTGCGCAATCCCACCTTCTCAGTGGCTTTCATATTGACAAAAAAATGTAATGTATGAAGAATACTCGTATTTATGTGCGACATAATCCTTTCAAATAACAGTTCAATCAATCAATATACAGAACTACTAAGCAATACGCAAGCACAGAAATCGCATAGCTGGCCGCAACGACAAGAAGTGCGGCTTTTTTGCGCTCTCCAAGACTGGTTGTCGTTATTTCTCGTTGTAGCACGGCCTGAAAGAGTTCTGTACGAGAGAGCGTAGAAAGGCGAAATTGAGAACTCACTGATTCGGAAGGCACTGCCACCATGTGAGTTGAATTTTTCGATCTGATCTTAATTCCCAGGGTCCCTTCGATCCAGTTCTGAATGTATCCAGTTGTTCGTTTCAAAGACTGATCACCTGAAGGTTCCATTAACGTCACCAGGATTTCTACTTGCAAGCTATACGGGAATAATTTCGTTTATTAAGAATACGGTAGAGTATGCAAAATTTTGACAGATCCATGAACTATCCATTAAATCCCTTTAGTTTTTAAGATGTTCTATAGAAGAACTGAGTCTCATGAGAACAGCTTTTAAGTTTTAAAGGATGCTCCTAAATCAATCTTGTGAATTTCTTAAAGTATTCTTAGAAAGTAAAAGTTATTTTTCCAAAAATGAAAAGTGATAAAGGTGTAGTGATCAATTTTATCCTTCTTCCACTTTTACAGGTGGCCATAAAAGTTGAGAAAAAACCTACATTTGAGGACCGCATGTCGGGGTTGCCGATCCAACTCGTCCGCATCAACCAAAAGAGCGTAGGTCACCCTCCGTGCCGGTAGGGTTAAGTCAACGACCAACAGAAAGGCAGTATGTATGAAGCACCCACAAATCCACAAGTCGAGAAATGTTGCTGATTGGTACGGTCGCGAACCGACCAACTGAAAGAATCCTAGTTAATATTTCGAGTTAGGAATTTCCAACACAATAGGAATTTTTGAACATAATGGCTAAAGTTCTTTAAATCTGGACTCATCATAATCGTCAGCACAAAATATGATTAAATGAAAAGTTTGAGAAGATGAGATTCCAATGATAAATATCATCTTGGTGCGGAAACTTATATAGTTCAACTTTTAAGTTACGAAAACTGTTTTTGTTTCGCCTTCATAAATCTTGACTCAAAGTCCTTTGATTCTAACCACAACGATGCTGCGATATTCGCAAATCATGGACCCCGGATGAGATGGAACTACGACTTCCCAGACTATCCGGTGGCTCGCGCATTACGCACTGCACCACGGAGGCCTTTGCTCTACTCTGCTGTTCTTTTATTTAGTTTTCGTTTTTTCATTTCGTTTGGATTCCAGATATATCACTTTCGTGGCCAATACATTATCATGCTAGCATTCTATTTTTGGTTAATTTGCGTCCAATTCGAAATATTACAATGGAAATAGAAAAATGGTATTGTTGCGGCCCAAAAATAGACTTTAGACGACAACAAACAATGTTCCGAACACTGTTTGGACAAGTGTGTACCATCGGAACGCTTCCTGAAGACAAATTTTCGCAAGATGAAGGTTGTATGATCTTATGTGCGCCGTGTAGTTATTCTTACTTGGATACTTGGATGGCCCGTCCTCACTGGTTTTGCGGCTGCCAGTATAACTTCCATTTTCTCGGAGTTTTGCCGGCTTAACCACTGTGGTTCCCTGGAATCCCGAAGACAACCTGGCCAAAGTCTCCATCACCATAGTCATTCGACATTAGGAAATTGACTTCGAATTTTTAACTTTATTTGCCTTGTATGTTTCTATTTTTCATACGTATATACTTCCCAACGGTTTACCGCCTCATCGTCGCTGGGAGGTGTTCCTGGGTGTCGGACTGCGATGTACAGCGGGGGGATTCGTCCCCCCGGCAGTGTCTCCCAAGCTGAGAAGGAGTCCGGCGTCTCCATCAGGAAGCCTAGCTAAGAGTAAGCCAGGATCCACCACCGTCTTGGTATCAAAATCGTATGGTGGTAAACCTCCCTCAGATCCACAAGGGCTGCGACTGCCTGTCGTGGTGACGACTTGGGGCAGGCTTTGGCCACGCTGTCCTCGGGATTCCAGGGAACCATAATGGCTTAACCAGCAAATCTCCGAAAAATGGTGATTATGTTGGGGCCCGCACAACTAGTGTGATGACGGGCCGTTCAAGTATCAAGTAAGTATGCATATATTTACATATATATATACTTCATATATACATATGTTCATATATATTTTCATTATATTTTTATAAATAATTCACCAGAGTGGATGTATCAAACACTAGGACCCATTGTCCCAAAAATTCCCTTGCCTCTACAGGATTTCACTTACTGAAACCTTAAAATCTAGTCAACAAAAAGTTGATTCAACACAGTCGCATTACGAGCGAAGCATTAAAACGAAAAGGAACGAGTTCAATATCAACTCAACCACTTCTGTACATGGAACAGATCTGAGTCAATAACCATGAGACATGTTTTCAATACTGGTGGTTATTTCAGTTCTGAAATCACTAGAGCAGAACCTTCGAGAATAGGACACCGCATTGCCCAATGTCGTGGTGCACCTTCGTAGCCGTCAGCCTTTTTTACTACGCATTCATGGTCAAGAACTGCAATACATAAGTGCACATTAATATCAGCGTTTGAAGGAGTATTCTATTCCTCTTTTAAATTTTGTGCCCTTTGAATAGGACGAGATCGATGCAGACAAAAACTAAATGCGCTATACGATGGCGTGGAAAGTGCTTCCACAATTTGAACAACGTTCGTACCGCTCTAGAAAAACTGAAGCTTTCCTAAGATTGTAATGCTTCTCCATTAGTATAGCTCAAGGGGCAGCACAAAAAGAAGGTTTGTAAAGATCATAAGTTGTTTTAACTCAGGCTTTTTTCCATGTTGCAGAAAGTAGAGCTCACACTTAGCATACTAATTCCTTTTCGAATTTGAAGTTACTGTGGAGATACAAGGGACCATCAACGACATCTTTTATATAAAGGCCATGTAGCGCTCTAAGAAATGATTTCAGAGGAAACGCGAGAGCTATCAAATTTCAGAAACCAAGGAAAAGTCGGCAATTTGATATAGTCAATGTTATATTAGATAGAAATCAATAAAATCGATTATGTTTAATATTATTATATTTTCCTCACCAAAATCAGCATGCACATTATTGCTGCGAGTGAAACCAATACCTGAAACAGAAGAGAAAATATCGAAGGACAACGTTCTTGTCAGATTTTGACAAGGCTAACTACCACGCTAATCCTTTCAATTTGATGGTTCTCTTCATGTATGCTGATTTTCAAGAGAAAAAAGGTCAAGCAGGAAATAATCACATCCATAAATTGTCCTAAACAATTAGCAATAGCTGATGTTTTGTAAGCAGTGAAGTGTAAGACAATGAAAATAAAGGATGAAGCTCTCGGCGTTGATCAATTCCTGGGGGATGCGCCATGCATGCATTCAACCCCATTAAGCATCGTTTAGAGGTGATTGAATNGACATCTGACATTTACAATGATTCGCGGTGGCCTATCGATGTATCAAGCCTATTCTCCCAGACATCTCTGGCACCAATTTGCCCAATTGGGGATCAATTCCACGTTTGTGTTGCAGGGCGCCTCGGAGCACTGCGCCACACGAGCCCATTAGATGTAAAATAGTAAATAAATATGAATAAAGACTGAAGGAACGACGGATGGACGTCAGCTTAGGAAGAAAATTAAAAATTAGAGTCGAATGATATCAGATTGTTTATGTTTGGAACCAGCGAGCCGGTGACAACTCAGCTTGATTCCAGCCCTGAACAAGCCACTAGATAGTTCAATATAGGCGATCTGGAGATACTCAAATCTTTGGTGAATGGTTGAGATATTACAAATCTAAGAAGGGGTGATAAAAGTTGTACAGTCGGAAAAGGAGTAGTAATCTAACTTGGACTTTTCGACGTTTCCATTGAGCGAAAAACACGAGAGCAACGATCAGCAACGATGGCAGGAACACCGAAAGCACCGCGAGATGCCAATCTGCCGCAAACTTCAGGTGGACGACGGATTGTGGAAATGGTGCTGTAATGAAGTATAAATAAGTACAAGTAAACAAGTGCCAATTAGTAGTGGTTAAGTGAAGGAGAAGAATGGAATATTATGTCCTACCTAGTTCAGCTTTTATTCTTAAGATTTCGGACTCCACCCGTACATCTGTCAGCGCAGATACCGTCATCACCTCATCTATTAAAAAATTCTGTAGTTCATGATTTAACTGTCAATGGAATAAATTCCATGATAAGATGGTTAGTACTAGAAAGTAACAACATTATAAGTTCTTCTTTAACAAACACTTAATGACAATGAATTCTGCAATCGCTATCCTAGATGGCTCTTTTGTTCAGAGACTTCAATTCAAACCTCCAGCATTTTCAGTGGCGAGTTCACATTCGAACGATTCGAACGGATATTTCCATTCGGTCGCACTGCATGGTACTATATCCTTTACGCTGAAAGAGATTATTAAGAAACTATTAAGTAACATGGCCCCGATGTACTTAAATTAAGATGGAAGCATTGATTTTTAAGCTAAGGGTATAAAAACTTTGACGCTTTAAAAAAAAAGGGAAAATATCAGGAATTAAAGTATTTCAGCCGGCTACTACATCTCATTTTCTAAGCCGAAACTTCTTAGAATAATTGAATCCCAGCGAAATACGGCTCTTTCATTATATAAACGTCCACATAGACTACTTCATTTGGAGTCGTACTCTAATTCACAAGGAACCGCTCTGTGGTTCTGCCTTCATTCATCATTACAGTACCCTGTTTTCGGAAAACCCACTTAACGGACGGAAATCCTCTGAGCTACCGCTAAAACCACTTTTTCTATGCCCTTGTATTTAAGAAAGACATTACTAAAAATCCACTTTACAATTTTCGATGAGCCGAGCAACCCAAACACTACTTTTAAATGACTTTTCCTGGCAAACTTTTTGACATAAGAAACCCCAGTCTATTTTTGAGATGGAGGGCCAAGTTCTGAAAAGGCTACTTAGATCCGCTAATTTATTTGATAGAAAACGATGCTCACCGATGATACAAAGATATTTTTCCTGTGACAGGAGAGAGAACTACTGTGACGGTGTGTGGTTTGGGAATGGTACGTACCCTAGGCAGCCATGGCACAAATTCGCTGGGAAGTTCGAAATCGTCGAACAGTTCCCTAAGTACTAGACGATCGTCAATCCAGTGAAAAACCACCACTGCCTCCACCAAAAGCGACCGCTGAAATTCACTACATGACATTTTTTTCGGATAATTTTTGAAATTTCGAATATATGTTACACGGTGCTTCCGTTTTGCCAATTATCTCCTGTTATCTTGAAAAGATGAAAAACTTTGTAACTTTATAGTTCTCTCCCAAAAAATGGCATTATGAGGTTAATGGTAGCTTGGCAGTTTTCCAGAAACATTCTTATGGATTCTTTCATGATTGTCTCCGTTAGGAACAACTGAGAGATGCGACTAGCGCAATGGTTAGAGTTCCCAGTTCCTTGTTCTATTCCTCGCTCCGGGCAAACCAAGCCTTCTAACCTCTCTTGGTCAAAAGTTGATTGTAGATAGTATAAAGTAGTGATATAATATGTAGCTAGTCAAACCCAAGTCAAGTGGAAAAGGATAAAAGAGAAGGCTCTCAGCGTTGATCAATCCCGGAGGGATGCGCCATGCATTCTACTTTATCAATAATCGTTTGGAAGTGATTGAATGCATATCTGGCCTTTACAATGACTCGTGGTGGCCTACCGATGTATCGAGCCAGTGCTGCTATCCTCCCAGACAAATCTGATGCCAATTTGCTGACACCGGAGGGATGAAAGGCTTGGTGGGCTATGGGCGCCAGATCGATTCTACGTATGTGTTGCACGGCGCCTCCGACCACTGCGCCACACGCGTCCTCCAGTTAAGTGTGTAACAAAAATATGAGTCAACCTTATGATGCTGAATAGGGTTAAATGTAGATGATTCCTTAAGGTTTTGGTGGATACCAAACGCTTAAAATTTGAGCTTATTAACTATCACATTTTGTCAATTCTCTAAAGGTTTTCCAAAACGTATAACACATTGTGGCAATGCCAAAGAATTCTTTGGTAAAAGTTTATTAGCATTCGTATTATCCGTTTAAACGCGAAGATATGGAGCTTTGGCTTGGATAAACTTACCGTTTTTATATGTGTAGCGATAAGATGGAAATCGACAGTGATTCGGTAGAAGGTGCCGTTGACATCGGAAACGAAGTTCTCTAAGGCGTTTGAACGGACCGAATTGAAGTAGTACTTGAACTTCCGTGAAATTTCGTTACGTTCGGTTGGAGATAGGCTGGAATCGATCAAATGAATAGAAGAGAAGTGCTTATGCGTCCTTCAGCTTGTACCGCTTGATATTTTCTTCTTTCCAGTGTTCACTGGAAAAGTTTACGAATTATAGAGGAATTACATTACACAACATAAATTTAAATTAACTAAGGAAAAAAACGAAAGAAAAGGGCGCGTGTGACGAAGCGGTCGGAGGCGCCCTGCAACACAAACACACACACACAGACACACACACTCACATACACACACACTCACACACACACCAACACACACACACAAACACACACACACACCGCTCAACGACCCAACAAACCTTCCATCCCTCAGGAGTAGGCAAATTGGTACGACACTTGTCTGGGAAGATAGCAGCACTGAATCAATGCATCGACGGGTCACCGCGTATAATTGTAAAGGCCAGACATGCATTCAATCACCTTCAAACGATGCTTAATGAAACTGATTGCACGGGCATTTCTCAGAGATTGATTAACGCCGAAAGCTTTATTCTTTTTTTAACCTTTAGGAAAAGAGACCACTGAAGAACGCATCATAAGCGGTACCGTGACGTTCTCATATAACAAGCATGGGAAATTGGCAACATTTAGCGAAATTGAGTTCGATTCTTAAAACAAAAGTAGCTTCAAAGAGACAGGAGATAAAAGAGACTATCCGTCCACTACCTGCCATTCACCCGTTAAATTCTTTTAAAGAAAGTTTTCCAACTTTCCAATCCATCTCAGTTTCGTAGAGCATAATCCTTTGATTTTCCTAGACGATAACAGTGACCAGGGCCTCATTTTCAACATCATCGAGAGTTAAAATCATAATGTTAACTTTTCATTTGGTGCCTGTTACAATTTTCCACGGCAAGATAGCGTTCGTTACTCACTGCAGACATCTACGGTCCGAAGTTTTGCAGATATCTCAGTATCATGATCGAGAGTTTCCATCGGTTTTGTCGAAGGCAAACATTTAGTTTTCTTCTTTGAAATTGGATTAGTTGCTCCACGTCTTCATTTGCAAGCGATTTCTGCTCATCAAGAAATAAATTATCCAAGTTCGTAAGAAAATATTCGGTAAAGAAGACAAAGTCGAAAAATTAACCAATGATTTGGGCGGTTCTCTATGCTTAGCGTGTAACCTTTTAACTGTTAAATCTTCGAGTGATTCGAGTAGCATAGTACTAACTTATCATGTTCACGTTTAAGAGCAGGTCAATAAGCTGGCTGCTATAGAGAACTTCCCTCCTGAAAAGTTCTCTATCTTTTTTTTCTATGATGTATGTCCGGAAGAAATACAAGTTGTTACCACCGGACATTGTCATTATATATCCACCATCGGCATCGTGTATAAAAGGGCATCACTGTGTGAGGATGCCTCATTCGAGAAGATGGCTCACTGAGGAAGATCTGGCTCGACACGAAGGCGAAGACGCAACGTCGAGGCGAACAACAACCATGGACCATCGACTCGGATCACCGGCTTTGAGGAAGACGAAGACGTCGAAACGTTAGCCGAAAATAAATATATTTATCAACCTCGTGTAAGCTCATCAAGAAAGAATACAGTTCTCTATCTGTCTAAACAATAGTATTTGATGTTCATACCATGGTTATCTTGCAGTCGCACACCAGATACCGCAATGTAACCTTTATAATCTGCTCTGTCAATTACGTCCAATGTTTCAGGCACAGTAGCGGTTCAGGTTTGACATTAGTCGCACAACAACGGTAGCCTATCCGAAGGAGAAGGCGTAGCAGTAGAACAGTTTATCACTTCCTTGTGAAACAACGAAGCCAATGACGTTTGATGTTTCTGACAGTTAAGTATAGTCTATTGCAGTCAGGATCAACAATCCAGATTGGCCGCGGTTGCATACGCACGCGGATCCCGCAGCCAATAGAAGCCAGGTGCCTTCGATGGCGGAGACATGCCATCAGTCAACTTACCCCGGATCGGTGGCGCGGATAATCCGCTCCTCACAACATCATTCCCAGTCATCCTCAATCATCTCAAATCGTTCTCGCTCATTCTCATTCATCCTCAGCAATCCGCAGATTACTGTATCTCGTTTCTTAGCTTGTCTACGTGGCGCTGTCAGTAGTGGCGGGTGTCTCCAAATGCGTTCTGTTGCAACGCCATCGGTGGCATGTACCATTCCTCCCACAATGTACGCCATGCGTACAAGGTCGCTGAGCGGCCAACTTATGCTATGTATTTGTTAAGCCGCTATAGGCTTATCACTTGCAATCATTATCATTCTGGCTCTTGACTCTTAGGCATTGGTGGCACCCTTCGATGCTCAAACTTCACGTTGTAGACATACCGTTATGCACGACCAGCCGCCTGACTGTGTTCCATAGATGGCTCATCATTCAGTGTCTATAGCACCGTAAACGCTCATGTAACTTACTGTCCTCATCGATCATGCTAAAGCGCACCTCACCGCTATAATGTTGAGCCTTAGATCAGCTGGAAACACGGCTCGTCAGTATCCCTCTCCGCCCCAGCATACAGTTTTCCTCCCCTCCCTCAGCATACTGTCTCCCTCAGCCGCCGCACCGCCCGCGGATAGTGCGAGCGCGGCATCGCTGACGTCTAACTAACGGTTACTTGTATGTAATCATTCATTATTACTGTTATTGATGCATTGATGGTGTAGTAATATTCGAATGCCATTATCTCGTTGTTAACCTCACTTAAGTACTAGTCTTAGCACCTCATAGCTTTTACTCGCGTCATTCCTCGACCGTTACTTCCCTATCGTTATCATTATGTTATCAATGTTGTATTTATGTATTAAACGGTTTAATTACCCAAGTTTGAGGCTGGCGGATCAGTACAACAGCTAAAAGACCCGCGTGGGTAATAGTCTACATCAATCCGAACTGCTACACTTCGCCACTAACTATTCGTTACAGCTGCTTAAGCTACACAAAAAATACCAATATACTGTGGAAGCAAGCAGCCCAACAGCTCACGCTCACCAATTTTTGTTAAATTCCTGTTTTTCCTTGCTCTTCACCTTTCGATCTCTCGAAAAGTTTACTAGGGTTCCCAAAATGTAGGTTAGGTGCGCAGTGTTCCCAACATCAGCCCGCCTATAGGGTGTTCCGTGGAGCTGACCGCTCTTTCGGCATACCTACGTAAGTCGCCGTTCTCTTGTTGCTTTTCTAATGCTCAGATTTTGGTGGAATACTTTAAGGTAGGGAAAATTGTGCAGCCCGAGGCGAACCGTATGCTCCTTTTCTGTACTACGTTCTGGATGTTCTAGACGTTGACTATGCTGGTGGGCATAGTCGGAGTAGCCGAGTGGCAATTTCGATGAACTGAGCAGCAGAAACAAATGCTTCACATGGACATTATTGTTTGGTACAGCGTCAACAATATCATCAGCCAAATGAAGGTGTTTTATTGCTGGTCTATAACATTCAATCTATGAAATGCTACACCCTTGTCGGACGCATTTTTCATGTCGACGTTACACCGTTGCAGAACAACGAAATTATGGCTCAAATTTCTGTTAAGCTCTTAAAAGTTGATCACGTACTGAGCAAGGTGTATCGTTTGGTGCAATAGTTTCCACAATCGTTCTTGCTTCGATAGAATCGAAGAGTTTCGTGAATTCCCTAAAGTGAGTTATAGCAGTATATCCATATGGTGCAACAATATTAGTCTCAAAGCACGTCAATGTGCGCCGTCAAATTCGTTTACTCCACTGGAAATCCGTTTACTTGCATGTATGTCCTTTGCAGCTTGTTCCGTCGTTCTTTGATAAAAAATGAATATGAACGAGCAGTAGCTATGGATGACGTCAGGCAGCTGACTGAACGATAATTGCCTTCGATTGAAGTTTCCCATTACAAAAAGAGCACTCCGACCCTAATTTTCTATTGATTAGCTACCAGTTTTTCGAAAGAGAAAGCAATTGTGATGGCATACCCGTGCATTTGAAAATGCTAGGAAGCGAGCCAGACGTTGCCATTTCGACTAAGTTGGAGTAGAACTGTGGAAGTTATGAACCACGTTCTGAATTTCCTTCCCAAATGGAGCTATTTGATCGTAGTGAGGCCAGGTTGCAGCCAACCTGAATTTTTAAACAACGAAGTTTTGAAATGGGTTACGCACTCCTTCCAGCCTCTGCATCGTCAGCAAACACTGGTCTTCTGCGCTTAAGCGAAACATTAAGGCCTTTAGTCATAGCATCCGTGTAAAGCACTCTAAGCTCTACAATATATCTGTCGCCTGCTTAGCTTTATCTCGCTGACCTATCACGCCGATGGTTTTCGTTTTAGGATATCGAGCTTTTCAACAGTGTTGTGAAAGTGTTTGGTAAACCAGTAATATTCCTTTCCGATATGGTTCATAAACGTAGTTTTCGTAAACTGGGTAAAAAAGTAGAAAAAATTCCACTTTATTCATTGAGTATCTCGTTCTAGATTATTGAGCTGACACTTCGCTGGTGCAAAACTTCTATTTGGCTAACGTTATGTTTTCGCCATCTTCAGAACCGCATTACTCCGAGGGAATGGTCTTTAGTCGTTCGTCTTCTTGATGTGAGTGTTCGTTGTGGGATCGAGTCAATCTCATTGAAGAGGAGCATCGGTCAAATAAGGGATGTCTTTTGGCGATGTCCTCTTATTACAGAGCGAATGTTGGTCTATTGCCGATGTCCAATACGATCTATTTTTTGTGGGAGTGTCCCCTGCAGCAATCGGTACTTCATCAGCTGGTACATTGCGAAGCACTCTCTTAGGAACTAACTTTCGTGAAACATTGGCAGCAATAATTAGTAATCTTCCAAATTATTGAGCTGGTAAGAGGTTAGTATAGATTTGAGTCCTTTCTTTTTTTCGCGAGAAGGACAAATTTTTACGACGGAAGTGATGGTCCAGTCCCATTTTCAACGTTTCTACAACAACGATATCAGTTAGGAAAAGCGTTCTTCAATGGTCAGTTTTCACATAGAACTCTCAGTGGGGACAAATTTATGTTCAACAATAGGATTTGGATAGCTTGCTGTTGCCTGGGCGCCATTTTTTCCAAGCATTCTGGAGAAGATAGAGCCAGGATGTTCTACTGTAGCGAAATTTAGTCACCAACATATCCACGTGAGAAATGCTGAGAAATTTGCCACATTGCGATAGGGTTTCTCAGAAAGAAAGTGATTGAAATTCTTTTTTATGTATAACTGGTTTTCCGAATAGAAATATCACACTAGTTGTAAGTTTCAGCTGGGGTGAGTAGACCGCTCTTCAGAGCAATTCGACACCCTGAAACACCCCTCCTTCTAAAGCAACTGCGGTTTCTCTGTTCCATAAGTCATTATTTAAGTAAATAAAAATGATAAATATAATTAAAACTTAATAAAAAGTAGACGAATTTTATTCGATCCAGTTAGTGAATCATTCGCATTCGTCGGCCTTTCCAAGGCCACATTTGATTAAACCTTATCGATTATTTTCAATACTAATCCATTTATAACTGTTCAAATGGAATAACAGTAAGAATGAAAGGTAAAAAGGAAAGAAATTGCAGTCACCTAGCTACAGCGGCAAAAACAACCGACACTAAACTGGCTCTCATTCTTTTTCAGCATTTTCCAACTTCATTTCCAAGAACGAACGTCTCTAAAATTTATAGTTTATTTCTGACTTAGGAATATCTTCAGGAGACAAACAAGGAAAAGCTGAAAAAATGATGATGTAGAAGGAAAACATATGGCTCTTTTGAGAAGGTATCCATCATTGGTTAAGCAAGTTGGAGTAAAATCCTCAAGTTGAAAGCATGGGATAAA